TGACGATACTTGAGGGGAAGGATTACGTTTAGACAGTATCTGACAGCGAAAGCAAAGAAGACACGATATAATCTTGATTTTCCGACGTGTATCGAAAAACATCTGGAAACGGCGATGGCGATACTATTAAAACAAAAAATATTAAATATAATCACTTATACGAAATATTAATATAATATTAAAATAATATAATATTATTCTTAATATGTTACCCTCTTTATAACACATTCTCTTTAATATTTTATTATTACGTAAATATTAAAGTAACGTTAAAGTTACTTTGTATAAAATATGGCAAAATAGGATTTTTTAATCCTATTTCATATCATGTATATTAAAATATTACGATAAAGTTATATCGCTCGTCTTCGATGATATGCTTTGTTCAGCTCGAAACATTCAGCATGAAACTTGTACATACACCGCGTACCACGCATTCGTAACCATGAATCGCACGTAAAGCTGCCTCGGAAGTTTCAAAGCTGGGGGTCTTTAAGGACCCGCGCGAAATCTCCTCGGCAGGCTTAGGACCTGTTCGCTTAATCTCCACGGCCATTCTGAGCTCGTGGTCGTCGCCGCAAGACGAAGGGAAGTCGGACGATGCAAAAAAAAAAAGATTCGAAAGAGAGGTATCCCTAGAGAACATTCGACTCCTGATGTCTGTCTGAAGTCTTCTCGGCGCGTCTTGAAACTCTTAGCGTTAAGTTTTTAATGTTGTTTAAGAAAATATGAGAAACGTGTATTCTCTCCCGCAGGATATACACTTCGGGGAAAAGTTTTCACGGGAATGGTCCGAGAGCGGGGAGGAACCGTTGAAGGAGGGTGCTCTGCACGGGCCTAAAGGGTTGGCTGGCCAGCTGATGAGGAAACATGATACCGAGGCCGGTAGACGCGCCATTCGCTCCAGGATGCAGCGCGTTTGCAAATGTCACGGTGAGCAATGGAAACATCCTTCGATGGTCATTCACCTCTTTGCACTGAGAAAAAAATATTCATTTTGATTAAATTATTTCAGTCTGTCTTTATTTCTTTCGATGAAGAACGTATGTATGTACTCAAACTGTATGCAAATGTATGTATTAACTCAAACAAATTATGTTCGACTTAAATGTATACATTCTTTATCGAAGAACAAAGATAACTAAATTAATTTAGTCAAATGAACATTTTTTTCTCAGTGTCAGGCACATCGTGGCTTCCTACAAAGTTAAACGGAATATAAATATTTCCCGCGATTGATACCGCTTCCTTATCTTGCGTTTCGCTGAATAATTCTTCCTTTTATCTTCTTTCTTCTGTTGCGACAGGCATGTCTGGCTCGTGCAGCGTTCGTGTGTGTTGGAGAAGACTACCATCGTTCCGAGTGGCCGGTGTCGCCTTGGCGGCTTTACATGAGGGTGCCGCTCTGGTGCGATTGGCGCAACGCGGCGGTAGAAGACCGGCCAGGCTAAGACCGGCACGTCCCGATCTTAAACGGCCGAACAAAACGGATCTGGTTTATCTCGAGGACAGCCCCGATTACTGCGAAAGGAATCTCACGTGGGTCTAACTTGCGCCGCGCAAAAATATTTCTTTTGACTTACAAGAAAATCCGTGAAAGTCCCTCTCCGATTTTGATGAGCTTTGAATGTTCTTTTTCTAGACTAAATAAGGATATTTTTTTTTTATAGAAGCTCAATCGTACTTTTAGTGGCTGCAACATTCCTTTGAAGAAAATCAGTTGTTTTTCGAAACTGTAAAACATAGAAAAACATAGTTGAAATAAAGGTTGAATGATTTTAAGAGTATTTAATAATTATAATTAAAATTTTTTTAAATCTTTATCTTTAAAATTTTGTATTTAAATCTTTTTAGAAAACATTGTTTAAAAAAAATTTTTCGAGAATAAGACCCCTGTTTCGTGCTATATCATCACGTACTTTCACATTTTCATGACTTTTGTTCTCTTCACAGGCTCGGCATTCCTGGTACGCGAGGAAGAGTGTGCAATCGGACGTCCCTCGGTCTCGACGGATGCCGGCTGCTGTGCTGCGGTCGGGGCTACCAGACGCGAGTGCGGGATGTCACCGAGAAATGCAAGTGCCGATTCGTCTGGTGCTGTCATGTCAAGTGCGAGATGTGCCGGCACACGCGGGAGGAGCACGTGTGCAACTAAACGACAGATGCATTCCGTGGTCCGGCCTATCTGCAAGAACGCGCTCACATCGTTCTTTATATTCCGATTAATTATTCGTTGCTACTTCGTGTTATATATCCGTAATTGACGTCGTGAGAGGCTACACGACACGTTTACATCTCGATATGGTTTCTACCTGACAGTCACATAAGCGTCATCCTTCAGCATCGTGAGAATAATAAAATGCATTACTTGAGGCCTTTGCCTCTTCATAAGGAAGCACAAAAAGCTACGAAGTGCTATATGTGAATGATAAACGAATTATATATTATTATTTGACACATGTATTTATTTTTAAATGAACGACTTCGATCACATTTTTTATTAATGCTCACTAATGGATATTAATTTCTATCAATGTAGATTAACTTTATCTCCTGATTCAACTTCGTTTTTTTATTTTTTTTTAGTTCTATGTTATTAAGTAAAAACGATATAAGAATGTCTTACTTCACCTTCAGCTATTATATGATTCATTGGCTTAAAATTTTAATCATGTATAGGATTTTTTTTATGGCTCGAACAAAATTGCTCGCGGCAATCAAAGTTCTCGGGATTATTATTATAACACTAACGTAATGATACTCTTGGCGAGGTTGTTGTTGCGTAACTTATCATCACCGGTCTGACTGTCAGGTGCCACATTACTTACGCGAACGTTAATGCATCGAAAGTGAATGTGTTACTTTAATTTACATTCAATCCTTTAATTTTATCTCGATCCGGACGTACTGCGGAGAAGAGGCTTGTATTCCAGGGACACATTGACGTGTGTCTATACTCGCCTTGTATTATCAAACTCGTGCAATCTGACGATTCGGGTTCTGAAATAATAATGCGAACACGGTACGGCATCAAGTTTCCCTTCATCTCTTCCGACTCTATTATATATTATCATACACACACACACACACACACACACACATATATATATATTTATTTATTCGATATAGCTATATGTATCTCTCATATAATTAGTACGCGCATTCTTTTTATAGTGAGAATCGAGTGATAGAAGATTTCGTTGGAAATTTATCTAGATTTTCCCTCGTGACATATTTACGCATCTCGCGACGCTTGACATCGCGCACTGATGTGCCAATTTACTATTTCTGCGTGCGACAGGGAAAGAGAGAATGAAAAATGGAGCGAAAGAGAGTGAGAAAGAGAGAAAAAGAAAAAAAATGGGAGCAAAGGAGAACAAAAACGTGGTACTAGACCACGCGCGTCGATTACTTTTTTCCCTCTGCTCTCACACATTCGCGTATAATGCGCGTGCAATTACGCGAGTGTCCTATTTATATCGAAGTAAAGACCTCCGCACGGTGTCTCGTAGATATCTCACACTGTATATTGATGCTCTCTAGTGTAGAATCTTCTTTTCGCCTAATTAAAGAGCAACGTAGTGAGAAGTCACGTCACGCCGGGTGCGAGAACGAGCGATGCGAAGACTACGAGACGGACGAGCGAGACTCGAATCCGCCTCGAGATCTCCACGCCCTTAACTCGCACGAATCGGGAACAATACTGCCAATGAATGTAAATATCGTCTCACTGTTTTTCTAGACTCTACGTCCGTAATCGTTGTTGTATATACATGTAAGCGTTTTCGTCGGCTTCGTTTAGGAAAATATTTTGCATTGCATTTTTTTTCACAGTCTACACGAAACACTCTTATCCCATCCGTGATTTTGTCTCTCGCTGTCACTATTTTTTTAATATATATATTTAATATGATGATAGTATATATGGATATATGTACACACACGATCGCTTTATCGCATGCCGCGCCAGTTAAGTCGGCAATCTAGTCATTTACGAATTTTCTGATCCCCATATCAGCGGACACTAAGATGCTCACAACGAATTACATGCGAGATTTTGCACTCTCTTCGGCTGAAATCGTAGTAGCATAACGCATCGCGCAATTATTATTTTGGAAAATTAATCTGCAACTTCTCAAATAATCTATCAAAATAATTTACTCAAATCGTTGGAAGGAATATTCAAATACATTAGTATAGTACCATTATATACGCATACATGTATATTATGGTATTATGCAATTATAGATATGTATTTGGAATGTATTATTAAATTTCTGCGCAAATATAAAATTGCTCCACAAATCTAATTAATTAGTGGATGACACTTATTCGATGAATTCTATAATAAGATATTTCGCGTTATTGCGAATATATTATATGGACATAAATCATTAATGTTATTTCATGAGGTTGCATACTTATTATCTCTTATTTGTTTAGAATACGGCCTTAAGCAACGTAGACATCGCGATTCGTCCGTATATTGTAAGAACTTAGCGTTAAACGTAATCACACGAGGGATACGCTCGTGCCGACGACATACAGAACTCAGTATTGACAAACTGTAATTTATTTTCTTCATGATAATACATCACACTTCATTAGACTCGTAGTCTTTTCAGTCAAATTATGAGAAGGTGTTCTCGTAATAATAATAATAATAGTAAAATTGTTTCTTCGTTAACTATGAGATAACTCCTAGATCGTAAAACCTTTGTATTCGTATGTACCTGTATTCTACGTACATTTATATAAATATATATATATTCGGAAATGTCCATGCATGCGTATATTGAGTCAAATCTCAATGGAACACGTTTATTGCATGTATCGTCCCTTCGCTATTTGCACTTTGTTAGCCGTCATGAGATATCGCGCAACGACCGCGCTGCCCGTACAGACAATTCCGATAATTACACCTACTAGAAGGCCAACGAAGAATTGAATATCCTCCGTGAGTGTCCTCGCCTGACTCTTTGGCTTATGGAACTTTTCGTTGTCGTCTTTCGTCCTCGCGACATAGCCCAGCCAATAGATGAGTCTGTCGGAGGGTGGGTTTAGTCTGTCGCGTATCGCCACGGAAACTTTTCGTGCATTTTCACGATAAGCCACCGTCTCATAGATCTCGTTTATTATTTGTGCGATCTCCATGGCCGAGGCGAAATGATCGTTTGTGGTTTTTATGGAGCGCGCAAAACCCAACTCGACTGCACGAGCCGCGTTACGAGACTCGTGGGCGTTCCTCGGCAGACATATCAGAGGTGTCCTGTGAAAGGCAGCTTCCAGGAATTCTGTATCAGTACAATGACTCAACACCACTCGGGTTCGGCTATAACCTGTAACAATGAGGCAACAGTATTAAGGGAAAGAGAATGCCTCCATGCTATTGCCGTATTATCCTCTCTTAAGCGATTATATTCAATTCAATGGCGCTTTGAAGAGTTTGTATTCGCGAGGCACGTATTTCACTTGTGCGCAAGTAAACGCTCTAGAACTCATTGTTTTCATTTACTATGAAATGTATTGTGTCGTGGGAGAGAGATAAAGGTCCCTCAACGAGAATCCTACATTGTATATTTATTAAAATTGAAAAGTTTACATCTTTAAAAATCAATATTACGTATGAAATATGTATATGTATTCTTTATAATTTGGCTACTGATTTACGCACCTGTATTAAAACAATTTAGTTTTTATATTTAGTTCTCATTGTTACAGAAATATTTTTTTATCAATGTATAATTATTTATATTTTACCTATGATGTCTTGCCGGTCAACATCCTCGTCAATAAAAAGATTTTCCGGCGCAACGTTTGTATTGCGCTTACTCTTCCATATGACAGCTTGACCTTCCCTCCCTTGAGGCAATTTCTTTGCCAGTTCTTGTATCAACGTCTCATAATTGTCTTCTAAAAGAGCAACTATAGTACCCGTCCTATATTCGATCAATGGCTTTTGCAAGTTCTCAGGTAAGGGATATGCACTTCTACAATGATGACAACCGACCTAAAAGCAATTTTAAATCAATGTTAAACTATAGTTTTGGAAATTTTCAAAGATATATAATGTCGAAACGTTAAAAAACCAAGAGAACAGACTGAAGGATTAATATATATTTTACAAACCTCCACGAGTAACTCTGTTAAAGATGCAAAATCAGAACGTAACACTGTATCGCCTCCCCAAAGTACTAGTCTAACATCCGAATAAAGATGCTCCAAATCGATATTAATGTCCGGTAGATGTTTGGTTGCTAATCGTAAAGCGGGAGTTAGATAATCGTTCTTAACAGTGGAAAATATGGTCTTCCCTGAGAAACTTGTCGAAAGTCTCGACCAAAAGCCACCACTATGCACCGGCAGTGCAACTCTAGTGCATTCAAATGCATACAGTTCCTCATCTGGATTTTTTATCCAGATTACTGGAATTGATTCAATATGCTTCGCAAACGGAAGTAAGCAGCCATCATGTCTAAAAAATATCACAAAAGTATGCATTATATATATGTAAAAGTATACATACAAAATATTAATTTTATTAAATTAACGAGGTCTGGATCTTTTAAAAATACATTGTAATAAAATTATAAAACTGGTTTTAATATCGATATACCTTAATGCTGGAAATATAATGAACGTAGGCTGAAATTTTTGTATTTTATTCAATACTTCTTCATCCTTGAAAAAAATGTTGCATGTTTCTAGTGCATGTTTGTCAGCAGACATTGACTTATCAATGTTAACATCCAGTTGCAACACTTCAACGTCAATCAGTTTATTGTAAATATTATTAGCAGTATATGTCGGTATTATTAATGTTGTATCAATTCCTTGATCTGATAAGGTATTGGCCAATAACGATAGATCATATACGCTTTCAAATGCAACTACTAGAGCCGACAAAGGAGGTGCTGTCAGAATCGAGCTGCTTGCAAACCGAAATGAATAAAAGCACGCATACAAGCCAATTAACGTCAACATTATAATTATGGTGCTCAAAATATTTGTTACAATTTCTGTTTTACTTAGATGAACGAATAAAACTTAGATGAATAGCACTCAAAATTCAACTAGATCATTCAAAATTCGACTATCAATCATTTCAATATTGATATTTCATAAATTATTTTTTGCTTAAAATTGTGTTTTCCTTAGGTCATCAACAGTGACCTAAATAAACAGTGATATAAATAAACCAGTAAACAAACTTCCAAGATTGCTGGTAAATTAGGCGTTCCACTCAGCCTGATGTTAAGTAAAGAAATCACGGAATCTAAAAAGAAAGATGTAAACAAAATTATTAAATATGCAGAAGACATGATAAAGTGCACATCTAGAGGACATTTTTAACTTTCTTATATCTGTGTCTACCGCAATTAAGATTAACTTTAATTCTGATTCAACTTAATCTCCATTTTTTCTAATTCTTTGTTAAAACTAAAAAATGATGAATTAAGTTAAACCGAGATTAAAGTTAATCTACAGTTAATAAAAATGGACATTAAAAATTAATATAATACAGAGCAATACTTACCATTTATCACTCTTCAATGTCTAAACTGTAGTCTGTATATACAGACGATACAAAATCTTCATATTAATAATATAATCATCAGCATACGATTTACAGATCGTGGTGCATCAAATTATCAGATTTAGACTTTAAACCAGAAGTGTCCGCGCAATAAATATCGCCGGTTCCTGAGATCGTCTTTTTAAGCACTCCCGTGTGACGTCTCAAGTCAAATCAAACGGAAATCCAAAATTCCGAGATTTTCCAAATGTGGTTCGTTTCTGACGTCAAGTAAATAAGTACGGGCGGAGCACAACACACAGCTGACGACACCGAACGGCGTATGAATAACTCGTACCCGAACGTAGGACGTTCGCGAGGCGTCCGCGCGCGACAATAAAGATTCGGGACACCACGTGGGATTTTTGGTGGGATTTGTTTCGTCAGAATCGCCCTCGCGCTGCATCCGGCACCCGGCGTTTCTCGCCGGGAGGCGGGAGAGGTGCACGGGAGTCGACCCACGGGGTCTACCAGGGTTCACTGATATATTTCTCATTATCGCCACCACGTGATAACTACAATCGCGAATATACTGCGCATGTACCACGTATAAACGCAGAGTCGTAGAGATGCTACAGTGCGTTACAATTTTATTGAATCTATAATAAATTTTCAAATTTTTTTTTTCAGTGTGGCAGTTGGAACGTTGGAACCGCCGGAAGAGCGAAGTATACGAATGAAATAGATACATGTTTGATATTTGGCAAAAGCGAGAAAGAAAATTCTAGTGCAGGAATCAGAGATTTCTTTCTGCAGAAATAAACTTAGAACCTATTCTTTTTCGACAAATAATAGTTTGTTTCATTCCAATTTATTGTGCCACCGCGGTGTCATACATAAAGGTCTGTTCTTTTTAGCCGAACTTCTTGTACTATTTATCTTTCCTTCTTCTTTCTCCAATGTGGAGAGAAAAAGAAGAAACGTGAACGGTGCAAGTTCAGCTATACTCGTGCATCAGTTCAAAACTTTTTTCGAGATGAATAAAGAACCTACAAACGAAGACGGAGAAACTTTTCTGCGATGTGATTGGTCACCGCTTTGCCGTTGTCGGATTGATTGGTGCTCCGCGTCCCGCTTGATTTTTCCGAAAATACGACGAGCGCGAAGTGAGCACTTTAGGAACTACGCGACCAGTGACGTACGTCTTTCCGTGCTACGAATCACGCAATTTAACCTATTTAACCATCAAGTTTGGTTTCTCGGCGGGATACGGCTGGAACAGCAACAGATCCGGAGTACACGATGGCTACACCTCCGAATACCGGATTGTCCTTCGGTACGCCAAAACCCGTGACAGGTACAACGAGCATTCTGAACCAAAGAAGGAATAAAACATCTTCGTACTTTCTCTAGCTCCGGAGAAATCACGTCTGGTATTTTGATGCACGTTGGCTCTTTTCGTGTTACAAGGACTCACCGGTTTGACTTTCGGCACTCCGACCACTATGGCTACTGGAACCGGCTTTGGCCTCGGCGGTGGTATAACCGCGACAACAACATCCATATCCACTGTGTCGAGTCTACCCAGTTTCACAAATCTTGCGAGCAGTGGGACGCCTATACCTGCGCCAACGGGGCTTTCGTTCGACGCCACAAAGGTGTCTACAACTCCAGCCACGGGATTTCCTATCGCGACAACTACAACGGGAGGTTTCAATTTTGGTGTCGGAACAGCAAAACCTATGACAGGTTAATGAACGAGACATTTTTTCTCATATTCTATATATTCTATTAGAAAGACATAATATGTATGTGTTACATTTCTAAGGCTCCACTGGCTTGACTTTCGGTACTCCGACACTAAACACTATGACTACTGGAACTGGCTTTGGTCTTGGAAGTCCAGTTGTAACTACAACGCCGGCAACAAATGTACCGAGCTTTAACCTTCCTAGCAGTACAGCACCGACATCTGTAGCACCGGGGCTTTCATTCGATGCTTCGAAAACAGGTCCTACCACAACTTCAAACACAGGATTTTCTCTCGCAGCAACTACTGCAGCAGGATTTAATTTTGGAACATCGACGACTACTTCCACTGGATTTCCTCTGAGCAAAACGACTTCTGCCGCTGTTTCAACAAGTTTAGCAGCACCTGTTACTCATACTTCCTTGGGTACTACCACTACGTAAGTATGATTTTGCTTATTACAAAATTCATCTTCAAAATAATTGATTTACTTACTCATTACTAATGATAAATTCGATTTTTTATTATAACAGCTCAATTTTAACTCTCTGCAAAAATCTTTTATTGCAGCGTTAGTTCTGCAACTGGTATTCAACCAGGTGCCATTAATTTCTGTCAGCTCGAAGAATCTATCAACAAGTGGACTTTAGAGTTGGAGGAGCAAGAGAAAGTATTTGTAAATCAAGCTACACAAGTTAATGCTTGGGATAAATTGTTGATAACGAACGGGGAGAAAATAGTAACCCTGAATCAAGAAGTTGAAAGAGTGAAAATCGAGCAGCAACAATTGGAGCATGAGCTGGACTATGTCGTAAGTCACATTTGTATTGTAATTTTATAATATTTATACAATGTTAATACAAATGAAATTAATTATGAAATTTTCATCGAGTTAAATTAAAATAATTATATCATTCTCTCAGGTTGGACAACAGAAAGAGCTGCAAGAATGTTTAGTACCATTGGAAAAGGAGCTAGCATCTCTTTCTGTCTCGGATTCTGATCGAGAATATACATATCGTTTGTCGGAAAATCTCGACACCCAGTTGAAACGCATGTCAGAAGATTTAAAGGAAATAATAGAACATTTAAATGAAGCAAATCGCGCTCAGGACTCCAGTGATCCTATCGTTCAAATTGGAAAAATTTTAAACGCGCATATGAACAGTTTACAGTGGTTGGATCAACAGACGGCTTTGTTGAATCAGAAAATACAACAAATTGATCAGATGCATCAAAGTTTCAGGCAAGAGAGCGAACAGAATTTACATTTAGCTTATAATTAGTCATCGACTTATTTTATATATATATAAACTTGTAAGAATTATTTTTTGTATCTTATTTAATGAAAAGTTTAACGTACGAATGAAATATGTGTATGAATGAGAATTGAGAAATATATACATATATATTTTGCATTTAAGTAATACTGTATCTAAATTTTTTTCTTTGCTCAAGATGCAATGGCTGGTATAAAATAATGTATCTTAACGTGATCTCCCACATTTAAAGTTAGTTTCACCATCTTCTCCTTCAATAAGTTACACTTAACACTATCCGGATGGAGAATGTCCCAACCCAAAAACATAGAGAGTTTCTTTATGTTAATGGTCGCTGAAATATCGTCGGTCTCTTGTTCCTCTTCGTCTTCATAAACTTGTAGTCCTTTGAAGTGAGTGGATACCGTAGCAAAGTCCACATCAATTTTTATTATCAATGTACCACGTTTATTGGCGATCATTGTCAGTTGAGAACTTATATTTTTCATTCTATCCGCGATGTGCCGTAGATACTTCAACTGTGGCATTTCTAGCGATATCTGAAATGAGGCTGTATTTCTGCCGATTCGATCACGCACGATAAATATTGCATTATTGGATATGTCCTTTTTAGTTGAACTTTTCGCAGAGTTTAACTTTTTCCATGAAAAGAAAAGAAGATGAACCATGCAAGAAGTTCAGCTAAAAAGAATTAAGTCTTCTACCTACATCAAACTCAGGAATATCTGGCATTTTGTGTTCCGGCCAATCTCTACGAGGTATGAGTTTCACAGGTACGTCATGTACACACTGTCGTGAGTCAACGGACAGAGAAGTCAGATCAATTTCAAACGTCAGACAGGGTTGTCGTCTGTTCGTCAATTTAATTTTTACACTCTTCGCCATTGCCCTTAGGCTATTCAAGCTTCTGGCAAACATAGAGGCATCAAACTCCAAGTAGATCTTATTCTCCTGCTCGGTTACACCGCTCATAATATACTCTGCAAAGAAGTGTTGCGGCAAGATCACCGTCCAGAGCACGGGTACATGCTCGTCACCGACATTGAAGCACAATTCGGTCGGTGCCAATTGCAACACGCAGTACTTTGCCATTCGGGATATAGCACTAACAATATCTGAGGAATACGAAAAACGTTTACTGATCAATAAGACGTCAAGATTAAAATCTGGTCTAAAATGTGCTCTTTACTTTTCATTTCTTGCTTTTTATTTTACTTTTTATTTCTTACCTTTTTGTCTCTTACTCAGTTTTTTCGTTTTCTGTAACCGAGATAAAAGATAAAGAACTTCGAAACATGTAAAAAGAAATAGGATTGTTCATAAAATGGTCGCAAAGAAGGAAAAAGATATGAAGTAAAAAACATGAAGTAAGAAGCAAAGAACACATTGTAGATTGTAGATTAAGCTCAAAAGAGCTTTGGAAGAGACAAGATACATGATTGTTGATCATGATTGAAACAGTTATAAAGAGGAGAAAAAAGGCAAAAGGTAAACAGTAAAAAATAAGAAGCAAAGAGCACATTGTAGATCAGCCTTCAGCAGGGTTGTGCATTTTATAAAATATAATAATCTATGT